TCCTTTATCTTGTAGATTTTCGCTACGCATTATGCAGAAAGACGCTGTTCACATTGTTCTATTCAACGTTTTCACAATTAATTTAACCCCAATCTATTTCGGAGCATCGTCAGACCGTAGGTTATGAAAACACCATTCGATTCACATGATTCAAAAATTTTGACAATCGTCAAAAACAGTGCCAAAGGAGTTTTATTTTTTGACATGACTGTTAAAACCAGATAAGAATGCTTTTCTTGGGATAAAATGTCTTCTTTTTAAAACCTATATACGAGTTGAAAAAAAAATCTTTCATTTTCGTCGCATATTTTATTTAACTTTGTATCCAATTATTTTGACAAGTATTAAAATAAACTGACTAGTATAAAAATCAGTAACTTGTCGATAACAGAGTTTAGTAGTATCTAGTTGACTAACCATTAAAATTTCCTATCTTTTTCTAACGGCAACGGGACCATTAGGTTCAATTACTATTCAGAATAATTTCTGTTGTGTGTTCTGTTGTGTGCTTCAGAATAATGTGCTGTGTGATTTATGCAAGCTAAATATCTTTTGTTTATGGTAACACAAATTTCTGTTGCAATTTACGAAAAAAAAGGAGTATAGATCCGTTTTTTTAATGCACCTTTTTGCTATTTAATGCAAATAAAGTGAGTAATAATGCTTCACTATTCTTTTGTATGCATAACTTCTTCATTTCGGAAATAAACCAGCTTATTTTTATAACACACTCAGCTCATTTCAATCAGTTGACATATAATTTATGATTGAAATTGATAAATAGTACATGTTTTTCTGCTGGCTTTGCAAGCACAATTAATTTTTTTGGAAGTGCCAATTTATTCATTGACCGCTCTGTTAAAGCATTTATACAGGGTGATTCTAAAAATATGGGCAAAATTTTAGGAAGTGATAGTGCACACCCAAGCAAACAATTTTTATCCTAGAATGCATGGTTGAAAACAAAACACAAAACTGTTATAGGGCGTCAAAAGTTACATTCTTATATGAGGCAAAAACACACAAAGAACGATGAAATTGAGCTATAAAAGTAAATTTAATAACATGTGATTACAATAAGTGTTCAAAACAATGGCCAGCATTGGCTATGCACGCAGTACAACGACAAATAAAAGATTGGCGAACATTCTGAAACACACCAGTCATATCGCGAACTTCCCCTGCAGCGGCCGAAAGCTTGGCGACAAATTCTTCTGCAGATTCAATGTGAGTCTCATACATAAGAGCATTCAGCTGTCTCCATAAAAAGAAATCGATACATGAAAGATCTGGCGAGCACAGTGGCCAAGCTATAGGACCACCTCGCCCAATCCATTGGTTTGGAAATGTTACGTCCAGATAGCTTCGCAGTTCTCATACCTAATGAGATGGCGCTGCGTTCTGTTGGAACCGAATACACAGACAAAATGCATATCAGCTTTTTCCTTATTAGAGAAGGGCAACATCTTCAGATGTGTTGCTAACGCGATTGACAATGCACTCTCGAATCAGCAGCTTTTATGTATGAATCGTAACGAAAATTTGTATACGAGCTCTTCTTCCCATAACATGCAAATAATAACTCGCAGCGCGGTAACTCGCAACAGGAATGGAGCTTTCAAGTTTGCATCAAACAACTTTCCAAATGCGCCAGCACCTTTGCGTTTTGTTTTCGACAATGCATTCTTTGATAAAAATTGTTTGCTTGGGTGTGTACTATCACTTCCTAAAATTTTGCCCATCTTTTTAGAATCACCCTGTATATT